CTTTTGGGTCACTGCCAAACTTCACCCTCATACAGTGGTCCCCAGTAAAACAGTGGGCCTTACTAAGCACATTCCTTTCCCTTCAGGTCCACTAAGAAAGGGAAGCTAAAAGCAGACCTGGGGGGATATGCCTGCAGCTGCAGAAAGATGCATGGGAGAACAAGCACACAACTCTCCTTCCCAGATAAGCACAACAAAGAGACACAGAAGCAGTCCAAGCCTCTGATAAACTCTCCCACCCTGAATCCTTAAAAACTAGTAGTCTGTAAGAGAGTGTGCCTCTGACCTAACTTGGCCAAAAGGCACCTCTCAAGTTTTTCTCTAAAATAAATCTGTCTTGGCAGGGCGTGGTGGCTCACACCTGCAATCCCAGCACTTTGGGAGGCTGAGGCAGGCAGATCCTGAGGTCAAAAGATTGAAAACATCCTGGCCAACATGGTGAAACCCCGTCTCTACTAAAAATCCAAAAAAACAAAAAAATTTAGCTGGGCGTGGTGGCGCATGCCTTTAATCCCAGCTACTCAGGAGGCTGAGGCAGGAGAATCAGTTGAACCAGGGAGTTGTAGGTTGCAGTGAGCCAAGATTGTGCCACTGCACTCCAGCCTGGCGACAGAGCGGGACTTCATCTCAAAAAAAATAAATAAATAACGGCCGGGAGCAGTGGCTCATGCCTGTAATCTCAGCACTTTGGGAGGCCAAGGTGGGCGGATAACCTGAGGTCAGGAGTTCAAGGCCAGCCTGGCCAATATGGTGAAACCCCGAATCTACTAAAAATACAAAAAATTAGCTTTGCTTGGTGGCAGTTTCCTGTAATCCCAGCTACTCAGGAGGCGGAGGCAGGAGAATTGCTTGAACCTGGGAGGTGGAGGCTGCAGTGAGCCAAGATCGTGCCATCGCACTCCTACCTGGGCAACAAGAGCAAAACTCTGTCTCAAAAAAAAAAAAGTGAAATAAAAAACCTTTCTTCAATGGCAAGCCATTTTTTCTTGTTTCTTTCCTCTTTCTTTAATTCTTACAGGTACCTGGATGACAACATGGAGCACAGCCACCAGCAGACCTGGAACGTTAGCCCCTAGACCATGATATAAGGCAAAAGTAAACTTCTAACTTGTTCCAGCCATTGAATGATTGTTCATTTTGTTATAGCAGCCCAACCTTACCCTGGGTGACAAAACTTACGGAGGTTCTCGCACCCAAGATAGTCCAGAAGAAGAGAAGGGACAGTTGACTGTTCCTTCTGCTTAAGGGTGGCAATGGTAACCGAAATCATAATGTTTGTCCCTTTGTGTCTGGCTAGGATAGGCAAATTCATAGAGAAAGGAGAATAAAGGTTACCAGGGGCTGGAGGCTGGAGGTAGAGGGGAAAGGAGAGTTACTGCTAAATGGGTACAGAATTTTTTGGGTTTTTTTGAGACAGGTTCTTGCTCTATTGCCCACAGGCTGGTCTTGCTGTGTTACCCACAGTGCAGTGGCGTGATCTTGGTTCACTGCAGTTTTGACATCCTGTGCTCAAGCCATCTTTCCACCTCAGCCTCCTAAGTAGCTGGGACTACAGGCACGCATGCCACCATGCCTGGCTAATTTTCTGTATAATTGGTAGAGATGGGGTTTTGTCATGTTGCCCAGGCTGGTCTCAAACTCTTGAGCTCATGCAAGCCGCCTGCCTCGGCCTCCCAAAGTGCTGAGACTACAGCACAATGAAAGCTAAAAAACTTCCTATTAGACTGGGCTCGGTGGCTCAGGCCTGTAATCCCAGCACTTTGTGGGGGCCAAGGCAGGACTATAACAAGGTCAGGAGTTTGAGACCAGCCTGACCAACATGGTGAAACCCCGTCTCTACTAAAACTACAAAAATTAGTCAGGTATGATGGCACCAGCCTGTAATCTCAGCTACTTGGGAGGCTGAAGCAGGAGAATTGCTTGAACCTGGGAGGCAGACGTTGCAGTGAGCCAAGACCGCGCCACTGCACTCCAGCCTGAGCAACAGAGTGAGACTCCATGTAAGAAAGAAAAAACTTCCTATTGGGTACTATGGTAACATAGGGGTGACAGGACAATAGAAGCCCAAACCTTAGCATCATGCAATCTACACTTGTAACAAACTGTGGAGATACAAAACAAGATGGCCGATCGCTAACATCCCGGGATTGCAGCTCTCAGGGAAGGTGCGGAGAACTAGAGAACGCCACACTTTCAGACAAATTCAGGTCGCTCACGGAGCAAAAGATCCCCCAGTGGAGGAAACACACGGGTGGCCAGAGCGACTCTCGTGGCCGGCGCAGCGGTTCCGCAGGCACCTTGGCGCGGCAGCTCTCTGAGCAGAGTAAACAGGTTCGGAGGACCCACACGGGTCCCCAGCAGGACACCAGAGCACGGCGCAGTGGCTGTGACGGCACCTCGGCGTGGCAGCGCTCGGCGCAGAGTAAACGGGACCGGTGCCCCTTCTGACCGAGGTTTGGAGCCCCGGAAAGGCAGAGTCGCCTACTACGGACACAAGAAGGAAGCCAGACAGGAGAATCCTGGGCAGAAAAGCACCATCAGTTTTAACGCCGCTGCTCTGGCCCTGGGAACTAACAACCTGGACTTCCACTCAAGAGACCTAATCTGAAAGTTGGTAATTTCAAAGACGACAGGAGGATAAATTTACAATGATGGGAAGAAACCAGCATAAAAAAGCTGAGAATACTCAAAGTCAGAACGCCTGTCCCTCTAAAGATGATCACAGTTCCACATCGACAATGGAACAAGGCTTGATGGAGAAACGAGCGCATCCTGATGACAGAATCACTCTTCAAGGAATGGATAATAACAAACTTCGGAGAGTTAAAAGACCATGTTGTAGCCCAACATAAAGAAACTAAGAACTTTGAAAAAAGGTTTGATGAAATCCTATTGAGAATAGACAATTTAGAGAGGAGTATGAGTGAATTAATGGAACTGAAGAATACAATACAGGAACTCCGAGAAGTATGCACAGGTTTAAACACTCGAATTGTTCAAGCAGAAGAAAGGTTATCAGAGGTCAAAGTCCAACTTAATGAAATAAAACGTGAAGAAAAGATTAGAGAAAAAAGGATAAAAAGGAATGAGCAAAGTCTCCAAGAAATGTGGGACTATGTGAAAAGACCAAATTTACGTTTGATAGGTGTACCTGAATGCGACGGAGAGAATGAATCCAAGCTGGAAAATACCCTTCAGGATATTATTCAGGAAAATTTTCCTAAACTAGCAAAGCAGGTCAACATTCAACTTCAGGTAATACAGAGAACACCACAAAGATATTCCTCAAGAAGAGCAACCCCAAGGCACATAATCGTTAGATTCACCAGGGTTGAAACGAAGGAGAAAATACTAAGGGCAGCCAGAGAGAAAGGTCATGTTACCCACAAAGGCAAGCCTATCAGACTTACAGCAGATCTCTCAGCAGAAACTCTACAAGCCAGAAGAGAGTGGGGGCCAATATTCAACATCCTCAAAGAACAGAACCTTCAGCCCAGAATTTCATATCCAGCCAAACTAAGCTTCACAACTGAAGGAAAAAGAAAATCTTTTATGAACAAGCAAGAACTCAGAGATTTTATTACCACCAGATAATGGTGGTAAAGCTCTTGCTTTACAAGAGCTTCTGAAAGAAGCGTTACACACAGAAAGAAACAATCTTTCTAAAAATACACCTTTCTAAATATACACCAAAAAATACACTAAAAATACACCAAAAAGTAAAGAGCACCAACATAAAGAAGAATTTACACCAACGAGTGGATAAAACAGCCAGTCAACACCAAATGGCAGTAACCCTAAATTTAAATTGACTAAATCCCCCAATCAAAAGACACAGCCAAAACCCAATGGCATGTTACATCCAGACCTGTTTCACATGCAAGGATACACAAAGACTCAAAACAAAGGGATGGAGAAAGATTTACCAACCAAATGGAGAGCATAAATAAATAAATAAATAAATAAAAAGCAGGAGTTGCAATTCTCGTATCGGATAAAATAGATTTTAAAGCAACAAAGATACAGTGGTAAAAGGATCAATGCAACAACAAGAGCTAACGATCCTAACACCCAGATACGAGACTTAGATTGAATGAGACAGAAAATTAATAAGGATATCAAGGACTCGAACTCAGATCCGGAACAAGTAAACTTAATAAATATTTATAGAGCTCTCCACTTCAAATACACAAAATATACATTCTTGTCAATACCACATCACACCTACCCATAAGTTCAAATGAAACATTGATTGGCCATTATTAATACCCAATTTTTTTCAAAATAAAGCAATATTTCCATTTACTCTCCCTCTTTCTCTTCCTCTTTCTTCCTCTCCTTTACTTCTTTTTTTCTTTTTTTCTTTCCTTCTCTCAAAAAAAAAAAAAAAAAAGAAATCAACTTGTAAACCTCTAGATCCAGGTCGGCAATGTCTCTCTCATTGCTTAATTTCCTTCCTTCCCTTCCCTCCCTCCCTCCCTCCCTCCCCGCTTCCTCCTTTCCTTCCTTCCTTCATCCCTTCCTTCCTCCCTACCGTCCTCCTTCCCTCCCTTCCTGCCTTCCTCCCCCCACCCCCAAAAAAATAAAACAAAACAAAACAAAAAAAACTGTGCATGTATCCCGTGAATCCAAATAAATAAATAAGAGCCACTCCCATCATCCTATGTTCCTTTCCCTGCTTTATTTTTTCTTTCTTTATTTTATTTTTTAAAGAGATAGAGGTTGCTCCATGTTGGTCAGGCTGGTCTCGAACTCCTGACCTCAGGTGATCTGCCCTCCTTGGCCTCCCAAAGTGCTGGGATTACAGGTGTGAGCCACCACGCCCGGCCCTCCTGCTTTATTTTTTAGAATTTAGAATCCCCTGAAATTGCATTATTCAATTTCAAATAAATATATTTACTTATTTATATATATTTATATTTAAATAAATAAATAAATAAATAAATTTGTTCACATATAATCTGTCTCCCTCACCCAGAAATGGAAGCTCTAGGAGGACTAGGTCTTAGTCATTTCATTGTTGTGCTTCCAGGACCTAGCACTGTGACTGATACTTAGTAGATGTTCAATGCATGTTTATTGAATAATTAAATTAGAAATTATATCCAGTTTTTTAAAAAGTCTTATTTCGTCCAGGTGTGGTGGCTGACGCCTATAATCCCAGCACTTTGGGAGGCTGAGGCGGGCATATCATGAGGTCAGGAGCTTGAGACTAGCCTGGCCAATATGATGAAACCGTGTCTCTACTAAAAACACAAAATAATTAGCCGGGTGTGGTGATGCCTGCCTGTAGTCCCAGCTACTTGGGAGGCTGAGGCAGAAGAACTGCTTGAACCCAGAAGGCGGAGGTTGCAGTAAGCTGGGATCGTGCCACTGCACTCCAGCCTGGGCAACCAGAGTGAGACCCCGCCTCAAAAAAAAAAAGAAGTTTTATTTCTGAGTTTGTGGACTGAGAATTCATACCTGCAACAGAAGCCAGTTATCAACTTCCCCTCTTCCAACCTGGACCTATGCCATCCTCTTTACATGGAGATTTTCAGGAAATTGTGAATAAGGAGGCAAGTATGACAGTCTGGAAGAGTTGACCCAGTTGAAGCTAAATGTCCCCTCTCTGAACTTCCATGATCTCAGTGGACAGCACAATTCATTCATCCACTGTTCTGTCAATGGATAGCTATTTATTTTTCTTTGTTATTGTTTTTGTTTGTTTGTTTGTTTTTCTGAGACGGAGTTTCACTCTTGTTGCCTAGGCTGGAGTGCAGTGGTATGAACTTGGCTCATTGCAACCTCCACCTCCCAGGTTCAAGCGATTCTCCTGCCTCAGCCTCCTGAGTAGCTGGGATTACAGGTGTCCACCACCACATCTGGCTAATTTTGTATTTTTATTAGAGACGGGGTTTCACCATGTTTGCCAGGCTGGTGGTAAACTCCTGACCTCAAGTGATCTGCCCGCCTTTGCCTCCCAAAGTTCTGGGATTACAGGTGTGAGCCACCTCAATTGGCCAGCTATTTATTTATCTTATTTTTCTTTTGCAACTATGAACAATACTCCCAGAAACATTCTCTTCTCCCACTGCTCCCTCAGGGGCACGCCCACCTGCTGCTGCCAAAGACACATGGAGGAAGACTCCATAAGAGCAGAAGGGAAAAGTTTTGACAGTGTAGACATTCAGAAAACACAGGTATGTTCAAGAGAGTTCAGGAAACATCAGTCACGGTCCTCACTTTAGATTCCCAGTAGCTGATGACACTGTTGCTAGTTTCTCCTGCTCTTTCTTCTTCAGGCTTCCATGAAACCATTCTCTCCTCTCCACTCTCTTGCTCATGGATCCCTTGCAGGCATCTGCTCCTTGACCAGATGTGTTAGTCTGTTCTCAGACTGCTAAAAAGAAATATTCGAGACAGGTAATTTAGAAGAAAATAGGTTTAATTGGTTCATGGTTCTACAGGCTGTACAGGAAGCGTTACATCTTCTGCTTCTGGGGAAGGCTCAGGAAGCTTCCAATCATGGCAGAAGGCAGAAGAGGAACAAAGCGTCTCACATGGCAGGAACAGGAGCAAGAGAGAGGTCTTGGGGGGAAGTGCAGCACACTTTTAAACAACCACAGCTCACAAAAGTTCACTATTGGGAGGACAGTATCTAGTGGGAAAGTGCTAAACCATTCATGAGGAACCGCCCCCATGGTCCAGTCACCTCCCACTAGGCCCCACCTACAACACTGGGGGACTACAATTTCACATGAGATTTGGGCGGGGACACAGATCCAAACCATATCACCAGTCCTCTGTTGGATGGAGTTCTTGGCTCAAGAAGATGACCGGGAGGCTGAGGCACAAGAATGCCTTGAACCTGGGAGCTGAGATTGTGCCACTGCCCTCCAGCCTGGGTGACAGAGCAAGACTCTGTCACACACACACACAAGAAGTGGCATTGTCTCTTCTTTCTCTAGGCTTCCAAGATAATATCATACCCAAGGCTTTAAATACCACATTCCTGCTGACATTCTCCACAAAACTCTGTCTTCATCCCAGAACTCACTTCTAAGAGATCTACAGAATAGAGCCTGCTGCCTACATGATGTCTCAACCAGATGCCCCGAGGCATCTAGAACTTAACATGTCACAACAAAACTCTTGGTGTTGTCTCTGAAACCTGCCCCTCTAGTCTTCCCTTTTGCTGGAAATGCTACCACCATACACATAGCTGAGCACACTGACCATAATTTCTTCCTTTCCCTCACCACCTCCCAAATTCAATCCATCCCTAAGTCCTGTTTATTTTACCTCCAAAATAGATGTCCAATCTGTCCATCTTTTTCCACTGCAATCTTTTAACCATCATCTCTCATCTAGATGCCTGCAATAACGTCCTAAATGATCTCTCTGCCTTTACTCTGGCCCCCTGTAGTCTTTTCTCCTTCTAACAGCCAAAGAAATCTTAAAAATATAAATCCAGGGCTGGGTGAGGTGGCTCACACCTATAATCCCAGCACTTTAGGAGGCTGAGGCGGGTGGATCACCTGAGGTCAGGAGTTCAAGACCAGTCCTGGCCAATATGGTGAAACCCCATCTCTAGACATATTGTGTGTAATATTTGGCTGGGTACAGTGGCTTACATCTGTAATCTTAGCACTTTGGGAGGCTGAGGTGGGTGGATCACAAGGTCAGAAGTTCGAGACCAGCCTCCCGAGCAACATGGTGAAACCCCATCTCTAAAAGAAAAAAGAAAAGAAAATAATGTTTTTTCTTTTTTAAAAAATAAATAACATTTTCCCCAATAATGTTACTTGCCTGCTTAAAAACTGCCACTGGAGATGTCCCAAGCTTGTATCCCTGGGCTTATACCCACCTTGCTGCTCAGCCTGCTAGCTAGCCCCCAAAAGGTTGTAGCCAAATGTGGTCTCTCCTTCTCCCACCCCAAAAGACTCAAATGCTGTGGTGACAACTGCTACCAGGAGAACAAGTTCTTCCCCAGTTCCTTGAAGTGATTTTGAAGACCACCCTGGGCCCAACTCCTACAGAGCCACCCCCTCCCTACAGCTTCAGGCCTGAAGAATATACTGGGGACCAGAGGGACATTGACAACCAGGCCTTCTGAGTCACCTCCTGCCTGGAATCTTGCCGTCAGCAGCCTCCTCCCCACTGCCCCCTGGATCAAGCTAGAGACTGTTGGCACCTCAGGAATGTCCCTGCCCATCCTGCCATGTCTCTGTTCATTCTCAGATTCAACTTACTGCTTTTTCTGCCTCTGTTTCCACCCCAGCTATCTCTCTTGTCCTGAGGGATAGGCTGGAGTGACAGTATCTGCCCACCCCCCAACCCAAGAAAGAGGCTGCCAGAAGGAAATTGCTGACCATCGGAGGTGCCCAGCAGCAGAATAGGCTACGCTGAGGGGTAGTGAGAGCCCCATTTCTGGAGGCATACAAATCTTCACTGGACAGCCAGCTCTGAAATTTCATCAGGGCACTTCTACACCTGTGGGAGATTGGACTGGATGAGCTCTGAGTCAGCTCCAATCCTACCTGAATACAGAACTAATTGTACTCACCCCAACACATGATAAACACATGTCCTCACTGGAAAAAAAAAAAAAACAACCTGCCACTGGCTTCTTTCCCATTGTACTTTGAAAAAACTCCATATCCACAGTAGGATTTACCAGCTCTGCACGTTTGGTACAAGTTTGGCCCCTGCCATCCCTGGCAACGTCTTCACTTACCCTCAGCTATACTGGCCTCTTCTCCATTTCTTGAACACTCCATGTTCTATTCCATCTCAAAGTCTTCCCCTTCTCCTCTGCCCAGAACATTCTTGGCTAAGTCACATGGCTAAGTCCTTCTTGACCTTCAGGTCTTGGCACCTTCTCTGAGGGTTTTTCCCTGACCGGCTCTATCTAAATGAGTCCCCCTGCCTTCTCCTCTACCCTAGCATTGTCTGTCTCTGTGACATGTCTTTTAATTCACAGTCCTTGCTTTTTGGCTGTCTTTTCCATTGCATTGCTGGCTTCATAAGGACTGTGATCATGGCTTTTCTTTTCTCTCTTTTCTCTCTCCCTTTCTTTCTTTCTTTTTCTTTTCTTTTCTTTTTTTTTTTTTTTTTTGAGACGGAGTTTCGCTCTTCTTACCCAGACTGGAGTGCAATGGCACAAACTCACCACAACCTCCGCCTCCTGGGTTCAGGCAATTCTCCTGCCTCAGCCTCCTGAGTAGCTGGGATTACAGGCACGCACCACCGTGCCCAGCTAATTTTTTGTATTTTTAGTAGAGATGGGGTTTCACCAAGTTGACCAGGATGGTCTCGATCTCTTGACCTTATTATCCACCCACCTTAGCCTCCCAAAGTGCTGGGATTACAGGTGTGAGCCACTGTGCCCGGCCTTTCTTTTACTTTCTCTCTCTCTCTCTCTCTTTTTTTTTTTTTCCCAGAGGCAGGGCCTTATTCTCTTGCCGAGGCTGGAGTGCAGTGGTGCAAATATAGCTCACTACAGCCTCTAATTCTTGGGCTCAAGTGATCCTCCTGCCTCAGCCTCTTGAGTAGCTAAGACTACAGGTGCGCACCAGGTGGTAGAGACAGGGTCTTGCTATGTTGCCCAGGCTGGTCTCAAACTCCTGGCCTCAACAATCCTCCAACTTCAGCCTCCCAAAGCAGTGGATTACAGGTGAGCCACCATGCCTGGCCATATCATGTCTTTTTTTTTTTTTTTTTTTTTTAAGACAGGGTCTGCCTCTGTCGTTCAAGCTGGGGTACAGTGGTGTGATCTCAGCTCACTGTAACCACCTCCCTGGTTCAAGCTATTCTCCCACCTCAGCTTTCCAAGTAGCTGGGACTCCAGGTCCGTGTGACCATAACCACCTAATTTTTTTTTCTTTGTAGAGATGGGGTTTTGTCATGTTGCCCAGGCTGCTCTCAATCTCCTGGGCTCAAGTGATCCTTCTGCCTCAGCCTCCCAAAGTGTTGGGATTACAGGCTTAAGCCACTGTCTTTTTTTTTTTTTTTTGAGATGGAGTTTCGCTGTTGTTACCCAGACTGGACTCAGCACCACCTCCGCCTTCTGGGTTTAAGCAATTCTCCTGCCTCAGCCTCCCGAGTAGCTGGGACTACAGGCACGCACCAACATGCCCAGCTAATTTTTGTATTTTTAGTAGAGACGGGGTTTCACCTCATTGACCAGGATGGTCTCGATCTCTTGATCTCGTGATCCACCCGCCTTGGCCTCCCAAAGTGCTGGGATTATAAGCGTGAGCCACCACGCCCGGCTGCCACTGTCTTTTTTATAGAGACTTGAGCCTCATGTCTTTTTTATACATCAGTGTATCCCCAGTGCCTAGCCCAGAGCCTGGCACAAATGCTTTATAGAGTTTTGTTGAATGAATGGAGTAGGCACACTACCGCCTCAACGACAGGGCCAGACCTTGTCTTTAAAAAAAAAAGGAGACAAGATATGGCCAGGCACCATTGCTCACCTGTAATCCCAGTGCTTTGGGAGGCCAAGGCTGGAGGATGTTTGAGGCCTGTAATCCCAGCACTTTGGGAGGCTGACATGGGCAGATCACTTGAGCTCAGGACTTTGAGAGAAGCCTGGCCAACATGGCCAAACCATGTTTCTACTAAAAATACAAAAATTATCTGGGCGTGGTGGCACAAGTCTGTAATCCCAGCTACTTGGGAGGCTGAGGCAGGAGATTCACTTGAACCCAGTGGTCAGAGGTTGCAGTGAGCTGAGATCGCACCATTGCACTCCAGCCTGGACAAGAGCAAAACTCCCTCCTAAAAATAAATAAATAAATAAAAATAAATGAAGATTGGTTGATTGAATGGACCAATTAGCCTTGCACTGAGTGAAGGGGTTATAGAGATGACCCAGATATGATGGCCCATAGTCTGATGAAAACAAGTATGTAATTGTAAAACTGGTAATACAATGGAGATCAGAACTGAAGGCAGTGGGAACACAGAGAGGCTCTTACCTCAGTGCAGCGCTTGTTTGTGAGAAGAGAGGCTGTGTTTACACGACTCAATGCACCAGCATCTCTCTAAAAGAAATGCAGTTCTGGCCGGGCGCAGTTGCTCACACCTGTAATCCCAGCACTTTGGAAGGTCAAGGTGGGCGGATCACGAGGTCAAGAGATGGAGACCATCCTGGCTAACATGGTGAAACCCCGTCTCTACTAAAAATACAAAAATTAGCCGGGTGTGGTGGTACATGCCTGTGGTCCCAGCTACTCGGGAGGCTGAGAGGCATATGTTGCAGTGAGCGGAGATTGCACCACTGCACTCCAGCCTAGCGACACAGCAAGTTTTCGTCTTAAAAAAAAAAAAGAAATGCAGTTCTTTTTCCTCTTCTAATACTAATGTACATTAGTGTGCCAACTTCCATGTACTCTTTCTTGTTTGTTTTGTTTTTAATGTGCTCAGAGTCATACAGCTTCTAAGTAGTAGAGCTGGGATTCAAAGTCAGGCAGTCTGGCTCTGAGCTTGCATTTGCATTTTTTTTTTTTTTTTGAGGCGGAGTCTTACTCTGTTGCCCAGGCTGGAATGCAGTGGTGCAATTTTGGCTCACTGCAACTTATGCCTCCCAGGTTCAAGCGATTCTCATGCCTCAGCCTCCCAAGTAGCTGGGATAACAGGTACCCACCACGATGCCCCGCTATTTTCTATATTTTTAGTAGAGATGGGGGTTTCACCTTGTTGGCCAGGCTGGTCTCGAACTCCCGACTTCAAGGGATCCCCCTCTCGGCCTCTCGAAGTGTTGGGATTACAGGCATGAGCCACTAAGTCTGTCCGATTATATTCTTTTTTTTAAGACAGTGTCTCACTCTTGTTGCCCAGGCTGGAGTGCAATGGCACAACCTCGGCGGCTCACTGCAACCTCCGCCTCCTGGGTTCAAGCGATTCTCCTGCCTCAGCTGCCCAAGTAGCTGGGTTTACAGACACCCACCACCCCCCGCCCCACTGCTAATTTTTTGTATTTTTAGTAGAGATGGGGTTTCACAATGTTGGTTAGGCTGATCTCGAACTCCTGATGCATCAGGTGATCCACCCTCCTCAGCCTCTCAAACGCTGGGATTACAGGAGTGAGATCCCACGCCCGGCCTGCTTACATTCTCTTTTTTTTTTTTTTTTTTAAGTAATTTGAGGCCAGATGTAGTGGTTCATAACTGTAGTCTAGCACTTTGGGAGGCTGAGGTGGCAGGATCACTTGAGGCTAGGAGATGGAGACCAGCCTGGACAATACAGCAAAATCACACCTCTATAAACAATACAAAAATTAGCCTGGAGTGAAGAACATGGTGACATATGCTTGTAGTCCCAGCTCTTCGGGAGGCTGAGGTTGCAGGATCACCTGAGCTTAGGCTGCAGTGAGCCGAGATTGTGCCTTTGCACTCTAGCCTGGACAAGAGTGAGACCCTCTCTCAACAAGTAATGATACAAATAATTTGAAATGAAATTCACATAACATAAAATTAAGCATTTTAAAGTGAACAATTCAGTGGTAGTTAGTATATTCACCATGTCGAGGCTGGGCTCAGTGATTTATGCCTGTAATCCCAGATTTTGGGAGGCCAAGGTGGGCAGATTACTTGAGGTCAGGAGTTTGAGACCAGCCTAGCCAACATGGCGTAACCCATCTCTAATAAGAATATAAAAATTGGAGGGAAGGGGAAAAAATATAAAAATTAGCTAGCTGTGGTGGTGTGTGCCTGGAATTCCATCTACTTAGGAGGCTGAGGCAGGAGAATATCTTGAACCCTGGGAGGTGGAGGTTGCAGTGAGCTGAGATCGCACCACTGCACTCCAGCCTGGGTGATGGAGATTCTGCATCAAAGAAAAAAAACCCGGGCACAGTGGCTCATGCCTGTAGACCTAGCACTTTGGAAGGCCAAGGGAGGCAGATCATTTGATCCAAGAACTCCCGGAGGTCAGAGTTCAAGATCAGCCTGGTCAACATGGTGAAACCCCATCTCTACTAAAAACACAAAAATTAGCCTGGCGAGGCGCCATTCGCCTGTAATCCCAGTTACTCAGAAGCCTGAGGCAGGAGAATCGCTTGAACCCGGAGAAGGAGGTTTCGGTGAGCTGAGATTGCCCCACTGTACTCCAGCCTGGACAACAGAGTGAGACTCTGTCTCAAAAAAAAAAGTAAAAGAAAAAAGTATATTCACAGTGTTGTACAACCACTACCTCTATCTAGTTCCAAAACATTTTCATCACTCCAAAAGCCCCTTACCCATTAAACAACTTCCCCATATTTTCCTCAATGCAGTGTTTTTATTTGTATTTGCATATATATATATATATATATATATATATATATTTTTTTTTTTTTTTTTTTTTTTTTGAGACAAGGTCACCCAGGCTGAAGTGCAGTGACATAATCATGGCTCAGGGAAGCATTGACTGCCCAGGCTCAAGAGATCCTCCTGCCTCAGCCTCCTGATTAGCTGGAACCACAGGCATGTGCCACTATGCCTGGCTAATTTTGAAAAGTATTTTTGTTTTTTTAGAAATGGGGTCACACTGTGTTACACAAGCTGGTCTTTTTTTTTTTTTTTTTTTGAGACGGAGTTTCACTTTGTCACTGAGGCTGGAGTGCAGTGGCATGATCTCGATTCACTGCAACCTCTGACTCCTGGGTTCAAGCAAATCTCCTGTCTCAGCCTCCAGAGGGACTATAGGCACCTGCCACCATGCCCTGCCAATTTTTGTATTTTTAGTAGGGCAGGGTTTCACCTTGTTGGTCAGGCTGGTCTCGAACTCCTGACCTCAGGTGATCCATTCGCCTCGGCCTCCCAAAGTGCTGGGATTACAGGCGTGAGCCATTGCATCCTGCTGATGAGACCCAGGCTGATCTTAAACTCCAAGGCTCAAGTGATCCTCCTGCCTCGGCCTCCCAAAGTGCTGGGATTCCATTCCATCCCGCCTCATGTACTGGTTTTGATTCTCACAATGGCCTAATTGTTCAATTGAGAAAAATGAGGCTGTGAGTAGTTCAATGATAGATCCAAGGTCATGTAGTTAATTGTGGAGCAGTGATTTTTGAACCTTTGCTTTCTGATCCTGAATGTTTGATTAATGCACATCTGCGGGCGAACTTACAAGGAGATGGCTTTATTTGGGTTCAGAGAGAGTAAATTTTGTTTAGGCAGGGAAATAGAAGCTATGTTTGCTTTTAGTTGTAAAAAGCCCACGTTGAGGTAAAACTGCAATTAGTACTGTACAGGCGGTTGGCACAGCCAAGGAGTAACCTAAGCCCAAGAGCAGCTACAGGGCAGGACTTGGATAGGTCAGCAGTGCAGGGAGCTTTGCCAACACCTCAAGAACAAAAAGTCTGTCATTCCTTGGGCAGCTCCTGTACGTGCCAAGCTGAAGCCAAAAAGAGGCAGAGGCACCCAGAGGGCGTGGCTTGCCTTCCAGAAGCCAGGCATTGCCAGGAATCACCAGGTGGTTGCTTGCGAGAGAAGCTAGGGGTGAAACTGGAGAAAACAAAGTAGGAAGCAGGCCTGGGCCAAGTGCATCCCACTCTCATGGGGGCCTGCAGGCCACCGAACGCCTGAGTAACTGTCCAATCCCTCCTGGAAAGACCACCATCTGTCTAGAATCCCTCTTCTGCAACATAGGGGTGCCCTCTCTGGGGCTCTCTTTTTCTCTCTGAAGGCCCACGGCCCCACAGTTCCCAATTTAGGGATCTTAAATTGAGGGCACACTTTTAAATTGTCCTTCATAGTTTCCTCTTCTCCCTTGCGTGAGGCTGGACGGGACCCTCCTGCTCCGATGATGGGAAACTTCTCTCCCAAACTCCCCACCTTCTTTGGGCTTGGGCGGCTGCAGAGTTCCAGTTAACGGTGCGCCGCCCTCGTTCCAATTGTATCCACAGTGCTCCCAGAGGGTGCAGCTCCATGGAAACCAAACCATCACAAATCTCCGAAGGTATCGCGAGAAGCGCGGATGCGTCTGAGGCAAGGGAGAGGCGGAGCAAGGGCGGGAACGCCGAGCAAAGCGGGCGGAGCCTGAGCGCTTCCGAGGTCCGGGCCTAGAGCCTGTCCCTCTAGGCGGCGCCCCCGCGTGACTGCGCTTTACATAATCGCGGCCTTGAGCGTCACAGTGGCGTACTTCACGCCAGACCGAATCAGAGTGGGCGAAAGCTCCGTGTTCCGCCCCTTCCCACTTGATCGACGTCAAAGCGCACCAGTGAATAGGTGTCTAGAGTTCTCGAGCCCGCCCAAGCCCGTCCGGGTCCGCCCCGACCCGCCTGCGCCCGCCGCCTGCCACAGCCAGCAGCCTGCCGCCGCCGCCGGGTTGTGCCTCAGACTGTCAGATAAATCGGCGGGCCGGGCCGGCGGGCCGGTGAGCGCGGCCGGTGCCGGACATGGCGGCGCTCTACGCCTGCACCAAGTGCCACCAGCGCTTCCCTTTCGAGGCGCTGTCTCAGGGG